AACTTTCTAAACGAGTCTCGGGACTTATTTTTAACATTTGCAGTTTATGTTGCAGATATTAATAATTGCATAAGTGTATATATTGGAAATTTGTTTCTTTTTGTACATCTAATTGCAGAAATGTAAGCAGAAATATATCTTGCACACATTCTAAAAGTGTAGATTTTAAGAGTGCTCATAAAAATATTTTTAAAAGCATGCTTTTCTCAACCACACCTTTTCCATTAAAGATGTCAAAATTAAAACTAAATTTATCGTAGATTTGTTTCTGTACAGAATAAAACTTATGTTTACTGATTTTTACCTACCCAATACCATTACTTAAATCATACCTCAAGAGTATTTTTGCTTCCATATAGATGTGCAAAACAATATAGTATATTACAAATATGATGGCACTACTTTTGTACAATAACCTTATCATTGTTTTACAGATAATTTATTTTTTAGTGATGAAATTATTGCAAATGGCTTCCATTCTTGTGACAGTGATGAAGATGATAGAGCCTCTCATGCAAGTTCCAGTGATTGGACTCCAAGGCCACGGATAGGTAAAATTTAGTTGTTAATCTAAGGCAGTATTTCTCAGTTGTGACAGCTTTAAGATGTGTGGTGTTCAGTTCTCAAAATTTCCCAGCTAGCTTCTTCTGGACTAAAATCACCTCAGTTCTTCATTTATTTTCCTATCAACATTGAGGGCATTGGGGTACTTCCTTCCTTTTATACCAGGGATCGCCAACCTTTTGGACCTCAGGGACCACCAAACTCATAATTTTAAATCCCGGGGACCACTAATATGAATTCTGACTGATGGTGGCAGAGAGAGAGAGAGAGGAATCTGATCTAACCTCTCTCCTTCCCTCCCTCCGTTCCCCCCCCCCCACACACACACGCAGGGGTGGGATTCAAATTTCTTAACTGGTTCTGTGGGCGTGGCCTAATTTGTGGGTGTGGTTTGGTCATGTGACTGGCTGGGCATGGCTTGTATATAAATATTATAAATATTTATATAAGTATTGATTTTTTTAATAAAGAGCAACTTTTACCTAAAATCAGGCAAAGCAGGCAGGCAGATTGAGTTGCTCACAGAATCACAGATTCATTCAGAGGTCTGTGAGATCGGCTACCTGAGCCTGTCACATAAAATTTGCTTGCAAGCAAACTCACAAAATTAACTCACAACACACCATGTATGTAAACATTGAATTTTTTATAAAAAAAGAGCAACTTTTACCCAAAATCAGGCAAAGCAGGCAGGCAGATTGAGTTGCTCACAGAATCTGATTCACTTAGAGATCTGTGTTTCTGTCATCGGCTAGCTGAGTCTACACTGCTTCAGTCCTAAGGAAGGTTCAGCTCTGCTTAAAAGCAGAGCTGAAGATCTAAAGATTAACTAGAAAGCAAGAAATCCAATGATTTCCTGCTTTCTAGCTAATTTAAATCTCCCGACACAGCAGAACAGCTGATGGTCAGAGAAAGGAAAAATAGCAACTTAGCAGGCAAGTTTTCCAAGTAAGGAGTGAGTGGGCGGGGAGGGTTCCCGTGGGCCATGTGGGCGGCGCAGCCTTGTGTTCCTGTACAGCCTGGATTAATTGCTTTGGGGGGTGCTCTGGGGGTGACATTTCTCTGCAGACCACCAAAATCTGCGGCCCACCAGTTGGCAACTGTTTTATACAGTTTGTCACTTGCTGCTTCTAAAATGCCTGTGATTTCCATTCCCCTGAGTTTAATAGCATTTAATCTTAAACTAACAGCTGAAGAGAAGAATGCTACTTCACAGAAGCATGGAACCTATAGTGTTCTCAGTGATTCTATAGCACTTTAAATTCATGATTAAAAGTTGTGGGCAGAAATGTATAATATAGTTCGATCTTTGATTCTTTTTATAAATGAAAAAGCTTCTCAAATTGTTTCCCTCATCTGCTTTTTGACATACGTATTTCCGTATGTGTGTGTGTGTGAGAGAGAGAGAGAGAGAGAGAGAGGGAGGGAGGGAGAAGAGGTCATACAGGTAGTCCTCAATTTATGACTGGTTGCTTAGCAATCATTCAGTGTTATGACCTACGTGAAGCAAGCAAGTTGACCTAGTTCTGAAATTGTGACAGTCCTCTCCCCTCAGGCAGTCACATTTTGGATGCTCAGCACATAGTTGCACATGGTTACATGATGCCTTTTACAGTAGTTTGGCAAAAAAATCATAATTTATTTTTGGCTATTGGCAAGAATAGTCATAGCAAACAACGCTTTGCTTGATATCTGTGGTACTCACTTAATGACTGCCACATAAAAAGATTGTAAAATAATGTCGGTCACATGACCAACCTGATTGTCACAGGATAACAACTATAATAGGCAAGCTCCATTATGGTTATATGTCAAGGACTACCTGTAAATGGCCCCATCTTTACAAAAAACACTTCTTTTTTAAAAACAAGTGTAAACATTACTAAGGCAATTTTGTGATATTTTATTAGGGCAAAAACATTTGATCTTGTGGAAGCAATGCAGGGGTGCTATAGATAAATTTGAGGAGAAATATACACACAAACACACAATATCAAAAGGACAACTCGGTGGGAGAAAATTGAAATCTTTCCATAGCAAGAATGACAGGGCTTTGAATAAGGTGATTCTGGGTATTGCATGTTCTTTACTATACTGATAAGATTCCTGATGTTAGTAGGTGAAGAAGCTTTAGGGTTGTTGAAATGGAAGTTACTCATAATACCACTGTCGCTGCTTTTTATGACATGAAGTGCAATGTGTTTTCCTATTCAAAATACAGCAGATGACAATTTTCTCATTTGTTTATTCTGTCAGAAATATCACAATTAAAATAAGTCATACTATATGATATAAAATTTAAAATACAAAATACAAGATTAAAATATGTAGAAGTTAAACGTTTCCCCAAAAATGTGTGCTGTTAACACATTTGAATGTCCCCTGGGCAATATCTTATAGTTGAATAATCCTTTCAATCCAGAAGCACCTGAAGTGTAGTGAGGTGCTCATTTTCTCATTTAATCTGTCTGTACTATCTTATACTCATAATTACTTCATTTTCCATAATAGGTCCATACACTTTTGTCCAACAACATCTCATGATAGGCACAGATCCACGTGCAATTTTGAAAGACCTATTACCAGAAACAATTCCTCCTCCTGAATTGGATAATATGACATTATGGCAAATTGTCGTTAATATTCTCTCAGAACCACCTAAAAGAAAAAAGAGAAAAGATATTAATACTATAGAGGATGCTGTGAAACTCCTGCAAGAATGCAAAAAAATAATAGTATTGACTGGAGCCGGGGTATGTATTCACAAATAGACTGTATCATATTTTGATGTTTTAATATGCTCATTGAATATAAATGCTATGTGAATAATTGTGCCATATAATTGTTACCCCTGAGCAAATAGTTGTGATTGCACATATGAAACAGTTCATGGTGCAGTTCTCATTTTGTCATTTTGATAAAAGCATCAAATCCTGCAAATACTTAAGGTGCATATTTTACTTGCATGAACAATCTTATAAATTAAGTATTTCCCCTCTTCTAAAAGCAGTAAGGGTGAAGCCAAAGCTGTAATCATTTTTAGACAGGAAGAACTTTGGGCCCTTCAGATTTTTTTTTTAATTTCTTACTGTTGGTTATACTGATTGGGCCAACTTCTGAAAATTGGTAATAGTTCCTGTAAGTTTTTGAAATAGCAGCAACCCTTAGTGTTGTGGTTCAAGTTATTTGCTGGTGACTCATAAATAAGAAAAAAGTGTACCACTATGATCTGAAAATTGTACTGTATATACTCTCATATAAGCCATCTGTGGATATGCTTATCCCCAAATTTTAATGAAAATGCCATGAAAAATGTGTCATTTGTGGATGTCAACTCACATTTTTCACCGTTAGTTTGGATTAAAAAAATGATGGTCAAATTATTAGCAGATGGGCTTATTCACAAGTATATTAAGAAATACGGTACTTTAAAAAGTGTGTACCGTATATACTAATAAATAAGCCCATGGACAAATAATGCAAACCTATATGGGGGATTTATTTTGGCACCTGATATTCTCTGCTTATATGACTTTATACACAAATATTATTAGACTGAGTTTCAGGAAACATGGCAGAGCATCATGCTACTAATAGAATCAGGCTGCCTGTTTTCATTTTTGCTGAATGGTAATGACATCAATAAAATAAAACAAATATTATTACTTTACAAGTTTAACATGCTTGATTCTCTTAGGTGCTCTGACTACAGTTATATTAGCGTTTCCTCACATGGTAATTGTTTTCATGTACATGTAAAGAAATACACTTTCTTTTGCAGTTAGACTTTCCTCACATATAGTTTCTTTAAAGTGTATCAATGAGTATTTCACAGGTCATCCTTGATAAAAGAATCTTTGTTAATTGCAATAATATTAGCAACTGTCAGTTATACTATATTTTGTCATACATTTCAGGTATCTGTTTCTTGTGGTATTCCTGACTTCCGATCAAGAGATGGTATATATGCCCGCCTAGCAGTTGATTTCCCAGATCTTCCTGATCCTCAAGCAATGTTTGACATAGAATACTTCAGAAAAGATCCAAGGCCATTTTTCAAATTTGCAAAGGTGCTGATTGTCTCTTTGATTTTTTTAATCTTTGGAAGATAATCATTTAAAAACTTCCAACAGACTTCGTGCATCTAAATCTTTTTATTTGAACACCCCATTTAGGTCACATTGGGAAAAGATCCAGTGAAGTTGTCCTGGTGAAATACTGTAGATCCACCAGCAAAATCGATTTTTTCCCCTCATATATCTGCTTGCATCATAAATCTGCCCTGGATGAGGAGGGGATTTGGAACAAACTTGAGACATAGAGAGGAGACAAAGGAGAGATGTACTAATTTGATACTGCACCTATTTATGGAGTGTATCTTACTATTTTCACAAACCCATGTCTACCCAATCAACCTCAGCTTGAGGTTCAATGTGAATAAGGACAATGATAGACTAAATTACTTAGGTTTGGGAAACAGTGTAGGTTTTCTCCCCAGCATAATGCATGACTTAGAGGTCATCATTAAACTTAGGTGATAGACGATTTAGGATATAATTGTGGTAGCAAGCTATTTATGTCATTAAATTTATTATTGCCATCTCCTCAGGCGGACCTTGGACTGCTTACAAAGTATACATTAAAAAAAACACAAAACAAATGGCCAGACTAAAAAAGTCATTAAAGCAAAGCATGACAGCCCCCATCTCCAATATAATATTCCCTGGCCTGGTACCAAAGCTAGATTTTAAGGGCTTTGGTACTTTTAAGAGAAACCCTAGATGAGAGGCTGTAGTCTGTATCTGCAGGGATGCTGTAATGGCGATGGGAGGGGGTGTTATGACAGCAAAGACACATTTTCTAGATCCAGTATGTCATTTTGATGCAGATACTGCATTAACATATTTAGTGCTAATATAGATTGTGCTCTAGACTATGTTGCCTTTAACAAAGTAGACGCAATCATTTTCTGTCCTTCCCAATCAGCATTTGCAATTTGCAATGTTAAGGGCATGATTTTCTACAATTAAGTTGTATTGTTTAGTATATTTACAGGTCAGTAATATTTGATGGGAGAATTCTGTTGTCTTTCAGTAATATTTCAAATTTGTAACATTACTTAAATATTAATTGAAATTCTGAGGTTTGGATTATATATGTAGTATCCTATTTATATCTACTCCAAAATGTGCTCTATTAAATGTGCAGGATTGTTCTTTTAGTATTCTGTTCCCAATAACTATGGGAAGCTGCAGCAAGACATGATTTCCAAACTATGCTCTCCAACAATTCATTTCCCTTACCAAGTCGTAGATATGTAATAGCAAGCAAAAGTGCATTTGCTGCATTTTTCAATAGCAGTCTTTATTGTATGTTGAAATTGTATATGCGGTGTCATGTAACAATTGCAGAGATTATTGACAAGATCTTGTTTGCGTTTCTTTTGCAGGAAATATATCCTGGACAGTTTCAGCCATCTCTTTGTCATAAATTTATTGCTTTAATGGATAAAGAAAGAAAACTCCTTCGCAATTATACTCAGAACATAGATACACTGGAACAAGTTGCAGGAATTCAAAGGATAATCCAGTGCCATGGTAAGTGAAATATACACTCTTTTCTATCTTAGATACAGAGTTATACAGTACTAAAGATGAGGAGAAAATGGTTACAACTAATCAAAGCCACACAGTCTAAAAATCATTCCCTGTTTTGGCATTCTATAACAAACTGTTCACGTAACAGTTGTACACGTTCCATTGTAGCATCTCCTCAGATACCTGGATACCCTACTTCCAAGCCTTTTGTGATCTACATGCAAACACCTTTAGCATGTGTGATGGATATATCTTTATCTTCACCATCACAGTGGCCTCCAGTCACATGCAAGGAAGTCAGAACTTCCATTAATTAGTATAAGTGTGATAGTTAAATTCATATTGGCAGGTCCCTGTATTAGCCTCATATATGAATCACACAGCCAAGATCCCAGAGGACTGGAAAGAAGCCATAATTGTTCCCTTGTATAAAAAGGGTGATAGAATTTAATTATAAATTAAATAATTTATAACTAATTATAGGCCTATTGCATTACTATAGTTCTCACAACGGGTTACGTAGTGACTGTTCAAAGTTAGTATTGACTCCCTTCCCCCCAAAAGGTCTATTTCTGTTTCTGGGGGAAAAAACCTGCCCATTGTAAACAATGCATTCACTTAATGACCTGGCGCTTACCATACATTCGTTTAATGCCATAGTGTTATGCTTAGCAAAATGTCATAAAATTGGTGATGAAGCACTTAATGACCAACATAATTTACATCCATAATTTTGGGTATACTATAGTAAACTATAAGCCAGATACCTATTTAGCAAACTCCAAATGTGGGTAATAAAAAAGGAAATAATTAATTCTGAGCAAGTAGAGTTCCAACTGGGACAATCTACTACAGTCTAGTAGTGGTTCAACATCTGTCAGACAATATACCAACCACTCTTGACTTGAATCTATATGCAGCCCTTCATTGATTTTAAGTCAGTTTTTGATATCTCAAGGGTAAGATTTTGAGGCATTCTGAGCAGATCCTCTGTAGACAAAAAGTCCTGCTTTGACAGTCACAGGCATTTCCCAACATGTTCCTAATCAATAAACTATACAATAAAATCCAGCCTTATATATAACCAGAGATCTTTCCAACATTATTCAAACTGGCAAGAGGGTGAAAACAGGGATGTCTTCTAGCACCATTTTAAAACATATATATCAATTAAATATATGTATCCCCAATCCCCAAACCCCAAAAACTTTAACCTTAGACTGTCTACTATTGACCTCACCCCTTTCCTAAGAGATCTGTAAGGGACGTGCATAAGCGCACCAACGTGCCTACTGTCCCTGTCCTATTGTTTCTTTTAATTTTATTTTTTATTTTTCTTATATGTATCCATTTCATGTATTCCTAACTATGTTATACTTATACTTATTATCTTGTAAGTGATTGACAAATCAAATAAATAAAAATAAATAAATAAATTCTCTAATTAAAACGTTTCAGATGTGCTCTCTTTCTAATCATCATCAAATTTGAGGGTCATATTCATCCGTCAAAGGCAACACTCCAACCATTACACTATCTAATCACTTGCTTGATTTCATATACTGCATCCAATGAATATATTGAAAGTGCATGTATTATTGATAAAATCCCTGAGTGGGGAAAAAACCTTGACAACTGGTATGTTCCTTTATTGATATGTATATGTATTTCAGGTTCCTTTGCAACGGCTTCTTGCCTCATCTGTAAATACAAGGTTGATTGTGAAGTTGTACGAGGAGATATTTTTAATCAGGTAATTATTATTTTAGAATTAACTGGTGAAAAAGAACTATAAATTAGAAATGCTATTAAATACATTGAAAATATAATTGTAGGCATGCAATTTTTTTTGTTAAAACTGATCTCATACAACTTAAAATACAGCATTCTTTAAATCTAAATATGTGAATTGTAGCTATATATACAGTAATTATTGTGATTATTTTTCTTTACAAAGAACCAGTTGGGGGGTCCACAGTTGCATTATATATAATTATTTAATTATATTTGCATCTTATCAGTTCTCCATTTGAAAAAGAAAATGGGAGTTAAATGCAAAGACTAGTTCATTGCTTAATAGTGATACTGAGAAATGCCATCTAGTACAAAGCACTGCATTTTTAAAAGAATCAATTGAAATAATTTTGCAATTGCCCCTTAAAGATCATGTTCTGGTCAAACATACATTTAAGAAGGATTGAATAAAGTGTGTATGCTTGACCAGGATATGATAGCATTCTTTTGAAACCTAAAAGCACTGTCACCAATCCCTGAAATGACAGACGAGTACTCTTAAATTGAACATTAGTTTTTAATAAAGTCTGTGAAAGCTAAAGGCAACCTCTCCTTTAATAAAGGTTTTCAAGTAAGAGTGCTAGCAGTTGGATGATGGTGCTGTTACTCTTGATCTTCATGTATTAGATAGGGTTGGATTAGATGGCCTAGGGTACAATTGCAAATTGCATATTATTAAAAAAACTTACCACATTGCAAATATAAAATTTGCTGAGTGTCAGAATTACATGTGCAAATTTCAGTTCTGGCTTTACACCACTGTATTTCTAGTAATCTATACGTTTCTGCACCTGATGGTGCTCAGGATTGTTCTAACTTAGAGCTTCAAGCTGAGACAGGTCTGACCCTGAATTTATAATAGCTCTGGTAATTATTACCATTGCTGTGCTAGAGTTCATTTTGATTTTTGGTAATATACTTATGATATGGAAATGAAAGAAGCTTACATCTGTCGTTTTCACTTAGGCTAGAATAAAAAGTCACAACCTCTCTCAGTAGAAACATTCTAGTGGTAGACTAATTGAACAAAGTACTAGAGTGCTGATGATTCTTACCTAGTTCGGTAATAAAATGTCTGCAAGCAAAAAACCCAAGTTCAGGGTGCACCAAAGACAATAGCAACCTTTTACAAGGACATAATCTGGGGGAGTATGTGATAATGTGACAATGTGAACTCACATACAGTATCCAAGCAAATAACAAAGCTAGAGTAAGAGAGAAGAATCTTGCAAAAGAAAGTTGAAAACAATGAGATGGCTCCCTGCCCTATAATCGGACATAACTGCTGTAATTTTAAAGTGCTACTTGTATAAAATGAACACTGCTAATGCAAATTCTTTAATCAGGTTGTTCCTAGATGTCCCAGGTGTTCACCTGATGAACCCCTTGCTATCATGAAGCCAGAAATAGTATTCTTTGGTGAAAATCTACCGGAGCAGTTTCACAGGGCCATGAAATATGACAAAGATGAAGTTGATCTTCTTATTGTTATTGGGTCTTCACTTAAAGTAAGACCAGTAGCATTGATTCCAAGTGAGTATTGATTATGTATGTGTTGAGAACAACAGAGAGTTCTTGTTTCAGTTTAAATTTAGTGATCATGATGAATGATGCCAGAAATCATAGAATGTAGAGAACTTCGTAGATGTGGGAAGCAGGTTAGGAAAAAAGAATTATTATGTGTATATTAATGTGCCTTAAATACCATAGAATTAGGCAGGATTCAGACATTTACATAGTTACTTATTTCCTAAAATTATCCAGTTGTTAATAGTTGACTTTATTTTTTTTTAAATATGTAGGTTCCATCCCACATGATGTGCCTCAGATTCTAATTAATAGGGAACCATTGCCTCATCTACACTTCGATGTCGAGCTTCTTGGTGACTGTGATGTTATTATCAATGAATTATGTCATAGATTGGGTGGAGAATATTCAAAACTTTGTAATAGTTCCATTCAGCTTTCAGAAATAACAGAGAAACCTCCACGGCCTCACAGAGAGTTTGAAAAACATTTAACAGAGTTACCACCCACTCCTTTAAACATTTCTGAATCTTCTAATTCATCTGACAGAATTCGATCACAAGATTCTCAAGTAATACATTTAGAGCATTCTGGTCAATATAAAGCAGGAAATTCTGATGTTGCTTTGGAATCAAAAGAAAACTCTATAGAAGAAAAACCACTAGAAGTCTATAACTCTTTAGAAAATTCAGAAAGTACTCATGGTCAGTTAGAAACTACAGAACATGTGAAGGAACCTGGATCTATTCCAGAAGAAAACAAAGAAAGAAGTGAAAAAATCTCTGTTGAAACAGTGAGAAAATGTTGCTTGAATAGATGTGCAAAAGAGCAAATTAGCAAGCGGCTTGATGGTAAGTGCTAAGTCTATTGTAAAAGCACTGTTTTGAATATTTTCATGTTATGCTTTAGAATAACTTCAGAGTATTCAAATATAATTTTGCATTGAATGCTTCAAGGTAACATCAGTCAAACATTGGTCAAAAAAACAAAGCCTACACTAGCCTACTACCATGTTTCTTAAATTGTTTTCCTCTCAGGACCCCTTCCCAATTTTAAATTTCTTTGTAGGTCTCCCAAATTTTGTAAAGGTTAAATTTATCAATATTTACCATGATAAAATTAATTCTGATCAATTTGCTGCCATTACTATTTCTCATAATAGTTTCATGGGTTCCAATATTATTCAATATGGGCTGGCAAAAAAATTAATTTTACAAAGTTTTGGGGACCCCCAGAGATCATTGGACCAATTACACTTTAAGAAACACTGATACAGGTCAGAAAATCTAAAATAAATAAATTATAGCCAAAGAGCTAATGAATTAGAAATGTTCATTTTTAAACTATTGTTAGAAAATATTAAAAACCTGGAATGAATTAACTATATTGTATATATAAAGTATTCTAGATAGAATTCCAAATTAATGGATTTTATTTTTAGTCAGTGTTGGTTTAGAGGAGTAGGAATCCCTGTAATCATTTATCTAGAAGTAGAAATCTTGAGATGGGAGGCTTTGGTTCTAGATGTATGGCTGAAGTGACCAGATTTCAGGTTTGCAAGTCTACTTCACCTCTTTCATATTCATCAACAAGTGTAGTAATATTCTTTATGATCATGGAATATGAGAATTAAGGCCCAAGATTCCTCTAAAAGCATCTTCAGGAATTAAGAAAAATCTCCTCCTTCAAACTTTCTTCTATCCTTGTAGCTCAATTTAAAAAGTGGGGAGGAGAAACAAATATTTTGCAGAATATTGAGTGATAAAAATGCTGCTTGGTTTTCACTATTTCAAGAGTTCACTATTTCACTAGTTCGAGAGATCCCATTCTGTTTCCTGCTGGCACAATCCCTATAATACTTGTAGAAAGCTAGGAATAGAAATGTCACTACTATGTTTGGTCTGGATAAATTTACATTTCATTGCAAACATCTCCCCAAAGAAAATTACCATTTTCTCACTTTTATAGAAGGATTTGAAATTGAGGCAGTGAAAGTTTTAGCTCATGTTGCCCTAATTTATTTACTTAAAACCTTGCTATAGTGTATTTATTTTGTTGCCCATCTCAAAGTTCAAAGTGACTCTAAATGGCTTATAAAATAAAACCCAAAAATTCAACAGTAATCAATATAAAAACGGATTAAAGTTACAAAATTAAAACAAACTAAAAAAACAAGGAGGGAAGAGGTGGGGGTGCCTTACTTTTTAGTGCACCAACCATCTCCAGCTAACAGCTTCTCCTTCAAGACCCTATGCCAGCTGGCACATCCAGGTTTTAAGACTTTCCCTGAAGGTTAAAAAAGAGGGGATGGATCTTATCTCCTGTGGCAAGATGTTCCAATGGGCAGGAGCTGTGTCAGAAATCTCAAGTTAAAAAAAAAAAAAAGAATCTCAGATCAATATGCATTCAATAAATGTAACCCTGCCCACAGGCTTACCATCTAAATGAATGAAAAACATTACCATCTTTAGAACAACTCTTGTAAGATAAATAGAAAAATAATTTGGAAGCAATCTTTTCTTTAGGCTTTAAATGTACCGTATTTTCCGGACTATAAGCCGCTACTTTTCCCCCCATGCTTTGAACCCTGTGGCTTGTACAACAATGCGGCTTAATCTATAGATTTTTCTTCGCTAACTGCCATCAGGGGGTGCAAAAACGTGACAGACGCAAGAGGTCAATGCAAAGAAGAAGACGCCACCGGTAGTTTTTGGCGCGCTCAACGCAAGCAGCATGGCACGCATGAACGCAAAATATTTTTCACACCCTCATCATGGAAAGTACACGAAGAAAAGCATATGATGCAGCTTTTAAGTTGAAAGCAATCGATCTGTCTATCCAGGAAGGAAATAGAGCTTCCGCATGTAAGCTTGGCGTTAATGAATCAATGGTGAGACGTTGGAGACGTCTGGCCGCATGCGAAGAGCATTCTTCTCTTTCTATGTAAATAACTCATTTCACAACGTATATATCTGCGGCTTATAGTCTGGTGCGGCTAATATACGTAAAAAAAAAAATCTTTTAAAATTTAGTGGGTGCGGCTTATATTCTGATGCGCTCTATAGTCCGGTAAATACGGTAAGTGTATATTAGCCTATGTGAAAAAGTGAGTTGCATAGTATTTCTTGATACTATCAACTTTTTTCTACAACATCAGGTAGAAGTCGGCATGGTATTTCTACTTAGTGAACTGCTGTTGTTGCAGGCATATTATTCACAAGCTTTTGTTTTTGCCTACAAGATGGAATGTGGGAATGCATTTTGTATTTCTTACAATACCCATTTTGTTAATATTTTTATTTGTTTTGTTTTTTTCTTCCATTTCAGAATGTCAGTATACTAAAAATAAAATCCTGTTGTTTTTTTTAAAAAAAAAAAACTTTTAATCATATCCCTTGCTTAGTTTGTGAGATAATATTTGTAGCACAAACCCTTTGTGGTAATCCTAGTCCTATTGCAGTCCGGTTGTACAGTCTGTGATGTTGGCTTTTAATAGATTTTTTTTGATGGTGAGCTCTGAAGCTTGGGGCCATATTTATTTACATCATTAGACTGGATTGACCTAATTCCTGATTTAGGAGAGTCTTTTAGAGAAGAAGCTGATTTTAAGAAATAAAAAAGCAATTGGACTTAATCTGGATTTAAAACACATCTTGGCAATTAGAATGCAATTACATAAATTACATATGGTCTGCTTCCAAGTGCAATTCAAGGTATGCTTGTGACCTTTAAAGCCATTAATGTCATAGGTCCAGGCTATTTGATGAACCACTGTGTCCTGCTAGGCTGGCAGAAAGGGCCTACTTCAGATCCTGTCGGTCACAGAATTCCGACTGTCGGGATCCAGAACCCTTCTCTGCTGCAGTAAGATCTGCCCCCAACCTCATATGCTTCCACAACAGCTTGAAGAAGACTTGGCTCGAGCGACTGGCCTGGGGACCAGATGGGGGAGTTCCACGCTGGAGGTGGCTGCTAGATTGATGGCAGACTCCACTTCTCCTCCTCCGTGCTCTCTGCTCTTCACCCCTCCATCTTTTGGGTTATCATACTGATGTATGATACATCGGTATACGGAGATGGGCAGCAAATAAATTTAACAAATATTTTTTTGTGTTTGCCTTGTTTTAAAAGTCTTAGAATCTGGCCTCCCATAAATAGAATAGGTCAAAGCCAGGGATGTAATGTACATGTTACTGTATAATGAAAAATTTGGACTGTTCTAATTAAAATTAATTCAGAAAGACTGAGCCCATTGTGTATAGCATTTGAAAGTGTGTTTCTGAAGCATTTGAAACTAAATTGCAATAAACATCAATATACTATTAAATAGTTATGAAAGGCAAGAGGGAAAGCAGAGAGCGGGAGAAAAGCAAATTAATTTAGTGCTGCATTGTAATAGTTTTCCCTCAGTCCTTTATATTGACACAAATAATTGTTTCCTTATAAAAATATAAGATATGGAGAACGCAGAACCTTAAGTGTGATGCATTTATGTATGATTGTATTCTAAATGATGATGCCTTCTTTTTTTCCTTTGTTGTTGATCAAACCTGTTTCAGGTACTCAATATTTGTTTTCACCACCAAATCGCTATATTTTCCATGGTGCTGAAGTTTATTCAGACTCTGAAGATGATGTCATCTCCTCCAGCTCTTGTGGAAGTAGCAGCGGTAGTGGATCATGTCGGAGCCCAAGCTTAGATGTAGAAGAGGAGAGTGAACTGGAAGACTATTACAATGGCATAGAAGAGGAGGAGGAGGAAGAGGAGGAGGAGGAGGCAGACAGTCCTGACAGAGAAGAGGAGAATGGATTTGAGGAAGATGGAACTGACCTTCCAGAATCTGTTGATGAATCAATTTCTATAAATCAGACAGTAGAATTTGACAGTTTATCAGACAAGTTGTAAGATAATTACTGATTTATTTCAGGAACTTTTCCACCAGCATTAGCAATTTGGGCATATTGGAATGAATGTGTACTGAATTCAGAACAAGGCAAACAACAATGTTTATAAACATTAGAGTAGATTTTCATGCATAGTTTTCTAACTTTTCCAATTGAATTCTATAAAGACACACTCAACACTAATCTTTATTGCATTTTAAGTTTTTTAGAAGGTACTAAGTATCTTTTACTGTCACTACATTCATTTTTATTAATATGTGTTGTGTGTGTGTGTGTCCGTATGTATTCACACATATACAATATTTTTGGCTTTATAAATTTCACCTTGTGTTATTTCTGAACCATTTAAAAAGCCATCATAATATTAATATATAAAGGGAACAGCTAATCTAGACCAAAGAATGGTATTGTTCATACCTCTCTTGTTTTGCATCCTTTCAGTTTATTTATGTCTCCTTAGTCTGCTGCTGCAAGAATATGTTGTTAAATATGAAGATTTTCCCCAAATGCCTATGGCAGCTGTTTTCTGAACTCTTCATGTTGGGTATATTTGCATGCAATCATATTAGAAGTTAATTAGACATCAGTGAGCATCTGAAAATTCCTTAGATTACTAGAAAATAGCATTTTAAAAAACTATTTAAATAAATGAAAATGCTATTTTTAAAACAAAAGCTAAAATAAAGCAACTTTCTGTAGATACATAATAATGCTTATTGGCTTCCAAAATTACAGGAAGAAAGTATTAGATAAGAAATCATTAACCCTGTTAACATGAGTATTTAGTGCAGGAAGTTGGTATATAAAACAATGTATAAAATCTTTGTGTACACTGCCAAGATGTGAATATTTAAGTGTTGGAAGGTGTATATATATTCAGGATATAGATGGAATTTTTGCCCAAGAACAAAAGTGTTTCTATACTTTTCAGTACTTTTATACAAACATTTAATGAGAGCTACTCATGCATCCAGTAAAACAGAAAATTCAATTTCACCTTAACTTTAAAGTATGCTGCTTAAAGGCTTCTGTTCAGAGAACCTCACCACTCCTTGATAGATTGATGTAGAAAAGGCAGCAACTGAAAGGAGTTCCAAAGCTGCTTCAAAACTGCCTCTTGAAATAGATGTGTCAAATGTTACCGCTGTAGATTGTCTCAATCCTTTGTGCTTCATTTGATCCTAGCTTTTTAATTTCTTCTTGAAACCACTTTTCAGCTGTATCCGTAGTTACACCAGTTGCCAATAATTCTTTTGCATTTCTTTAATATTCCATTTTGAAATATGTATAGAGCTGTTCTTTTCAGTCAGTACATCCAATTTGTAACACGGCATAATGAAGTGTTAAAAATGGCATTTTGTGTTCATTTGAAATGTTGGCATGTTTTCTTGTTGTCCAAGTTATAAATAGAACTTGAACAACTACACTTAAAGAATGCAATATGTTTAGCTTGGCATGCATGTCAAACTGTATTTGTGCTATAGGAGATATTTTAAATGGAAATATTTTGTTTTAAATTATTTTTACAGTGTGGATTATTTTCTGCTTTTATATTGTATATAGTGTCTTTTATGTAACCAACTGGCAGATGTTTTGTAGAAGATTGTTTAAATTGACATAGCTCTCTTCCTGCAACTTTTGAAATACAAAACCAGTGTTTTATACTCAGTCTGATTTAAATCTATTACATTATTAACTTTTGGAAGCTGTTAACAAATGTGTGCATGCAATGTTATTAAGTATGGAAAGTAATACAGTTGGTGAGAAGCAATATGCTGCTCCTCCCATATTGCTCCAGTCACTTTTAAAACTAGGAGCAAGATCTCTGATGCAATAAAGGCCAGGCCAAAAGCTTCGACCCTCAGGGTGGGGAGACATCTGGCAAGCAATGTCTGGCTGGTCTGTCTACCCAAATTACCATAGCAACTTGGAGGGAATTTGTAGTTATTTGTAGATTGAGCTTTTTTTTTTTTACATTAAATACTCTTCCATGGACTTTTATGCCATTTTTTAAATCATTACTGGGAATTTAATAATGGTATGCTTTCCTCACTGAATGGTCAGACTCTGACTGGTTCAAAGACATTTGAGCCTGTTGTGTATTGTACATATGCTGTTTACCAATGGTGGATATGGGCTTTCTGTCCCTCCAGTGGTTTGCTCCTATCTGATAACATCATGTACTTACCTTCAATGGGTATATACAGTCTTGATACTAGCAAAACAGGAAGTATTAGGAATGATGAGAGCAGACAACTTTCAAATTTTGGGTCCTATTGAAGTGAGGTACCTCTCCTACTGATGGTTTAGGGGTGGGGGTAAGGCTATGGTAGTATCTTGTAGTATCTTGTCCTGAGGGAAGAGACAGATTGGATACGGTACGCTTGAGGTAAACCATAGTCTGTTGCTGATTTGCAAATATTAACAGGCTGCAGATTCTCTTCATCTTAGATATCTTACAATACCATTACCTCCTTTTTCTACTTCCAAATAGCTACTACCCTTGGGCTTTTTCCAAATGCCCTTTACATCCCCAGAAAAGACCTCAGAATACATATGCTTTGATCCAAACACAGATGAAACTAATATGGACATAAAAGATCACTCATGGAACCATTTTGCACATTCCTAATCAGGTCAGACAAAATAGTTTTTAGTCCTTGTGATATCCTGTAAAGCAGGGATCCCCAACTCTCAGGCTGCGGATCAGTACCTGTCTACGGCTTGGGCCTCACAAGTGAGCGAAGCTTCATCTGTGCGTGCATGAAATCTAGGTAGCACATAAAACCATGATTTTTCCCCCTCATGGAACTGGTCCATGATACCTAAGATTGGAAACCACTGTTCTGAAGTCAGAACTTGTATGATCCTCTCCAAAGAGAAACAATTTTATACTACCTGTTGTTAAATGCTTTAATTTTCCACAATTTATTGATTCTGATTAAATAAGAGAATGCCCCTCTGTCTATATGCTACACTGTTGATAATGAAACCAATTCAAGTTTATCATTTGGGTCCTATAACAGCAAAAAAAATTAAAAACACAAATTTAGCTGTAGTCAAATAAACCTAAGTTTTGTCACACACCAGGCTATCTTGTTTGGTGTTCTGTTGTAAAGCAGGAAGGCAAAGAACAAAACATAAGCATGCACGTTTATGGGTTGAAGAACTCTCGTGTAGTTTTATGAAAAGGACTAGGGGGTGACATGATAGCAGTGTTTCAATATCTAAGGGGCTGCCACAAAGAGGAAATAACCTACTCTCCAAAGCACCTGAAGACAGGATAAGCAACTGATGGAAACTAATCAAGGAGAGAACTAAGGAGAAATCAACCAGTGCCTCCAGAAGTTGTGGATGCTCTGGAAGTTTTTAAAGAAGAGATTGGACAACCAGTTGCTAATGTTTGAGCAGGGCATTGGACTACAAGGCCACCAAGGTCCTTTTTAACTTCTTCCTTCCAGGCATTTCAAGATAGGTAATGCCTTTACACATTATTTCTGCAGACCTGAATTGAGTACGTCTGACAAGATCCAAATAAAGTTTGAACACATGTTCATCTTAAAATAATTTGGACACATGACCTAAGCAAATTTTCTCCATAATGTTAAAAAAAAAATGAGACTTTTACATGTATACATTATTCAACATTTTCATTCAAATATTTTTATTTTAGGCTTGAATTGTTTCACTGCAGTTTATAAATCTAAAAAAAATAAATATTTATTTCACAGCTGAAAGTCACGTACTATTAATAACATGTAAACATTCAGGAACTTTACCCCGCCCCTCTCCCAGTAATTGCACCTGCTTGGTTCAAAGTCATCACTTCCAATGACCAAAGTCCTTAAAAAGCTAAAAAAAAAAAAAAGTCAGTAATTTAACCAGAATTTTAAAGCTACTCCAATAATTGAAAGTAAGAAAGATAAAATCTTAGTTCTGCCCAAGGGAAAAAAAGAACGTGTTGATAATTCTGAACTTATGCCAAACACCCGAGTTTTATTTGGATCACCACAAATCAAATCTCAAAATTTAAGAAACCGATTTTTCTTTCATAGTTTTAATTATCAAATGACAACTGCATGGACATGTGAAGGAACTGCCAATGAAAATAGCACTTGATTTTCCTCTTGATTGCTTTCATTATAAAAGAAGCTAAACTAGTTGCAAGTTGAAATGTAAATAAATGTAAATGTAAAATGTACATAAATTTTCCTCGGTGTTATGGTAAATCAGTGTCTTCACCAAACCCATCTCCAAACGTGGATAAATACGTTGTACTTACTTTCTCTTCCTATTTATTTAACTTTGTTTATTTTAACAAAGCAGCCCCAATTCCATAAAGCAATAGATACTTTACTGCTGCTGGAGCATATTAAAAAAAAACTTAACAAAATGAAAATCTAATTTGACTTTCAGTGATTTGAAAAGAAAAGCACATCTTTCACACACACAGCAACATTTTTGCAATATGTGAAGTACTAAAATTTAGTTATGAAACTTGTGTTTATTCCAACATTGCATTTTTATTGTTAAGATGGCAAAATGCAATTCGCATCAAGACAATCATTAATATAAGGATTTTTGGCTCCTGTGAAAGAATCAGATCACTGAACATAGTTTATGAACAAGCTTCTTATAATCACCACCACTTGGGTATCACTCATTTACACTGCAAAGCAGATCTAAGCATTGGCTTAATGTTCCCAATTAAATGATTGGATGGTGCTGAGTTTTTACATTATACTAAATTGAAGCCTTCACAGTGATCGATTGCTTGGATCAACTTTGATCTGAGTATTTCTTTGTTGGTATATTTTGGAAGATCAAGGAGATTAAAACATGTATGAGATACTGGAAGATATTCATCTCCACCTCCGGTTGGTTGGATAATAAGACTAAGGCTCTTCATTCCAAGTATAGGAATACGATCGCTCCCTGTCAAAAACACTAAAAAGAAAGAAAATGGAATAATCTAAGTCACATATCAAAACTTTATCACAGAGTACCATTATGTGATATACAGGACTACTGTATAAATAATTTTTGTTAACGTATTATGTTAAAATACTTTTGGCTAAATACATAATTATTTACGTTTGTGGAATCTATCAGGAAATGGACAGACAAGCTATTTAAACCTTTAAGAATTTAGTATTCAAGGAGTGAATCCTATCGGGTTAATCACAGGGAAGATTTTATTATCATAGTGCTGCCACCCATCACCCCAATATTTAACATCAAATCCTCAAAACTCAGTGTTAGATCTAAAAAATAAGCTAAAGAAATACATCCCTCAGTTCAGGAGGAAAAAATGTTTGGACTTTTCATAAGAGTAAAAAAAGAATGTTGTATTTTTTGTCAATTAAAAGGAATGCTTAATAAAGTTATGTTTAATAAAATAAGAGAATATTAAGGATTCCTAGAAAACTTAAAATAATAGTCTATAGTATTTGTTTGAAATATTCACTGTGTACTTTCCCGCTTCTCAGCTTTTTAAATATATATTTACTTATGTTTCCCACAATACATTCTACATTTTATAGGAAACATTGGCTCAGATTTTAAGGCAGACCCATATGTACTATCATCACAATATTTGCTGTAAGCTTCAGGCTGGTATGTTCTCTAGTGTGAAGAGGTGAAAAAAAATCCCTTTCTACCCAAAGTTATCTCCAATATTCCTGGAATTCGGGTTTATTTGAATTATAGTTTGATAATAAACTCTGATCACTGGAAACCCAGGCTTCTTTGAATAAAACATAAGATAGTCCTCAAAAATACATAACCAGACATCCAATTCTACAGTAAGATTACCCAACTCTTTACTTCTGCATATCTTATGCCAGGGACTGCTGAGGGAGAAAGAGTTTCCCATTCCAAGAGCGGAAATGGTTTTCATTTTTTTAAAAAAAAAAACACCATTCAATTTATACAGCTGCCCACCTCACTTGCATGTGATTTTGGACAGAGTACACAGGACAGAAACAAAAAATTCAACCGTTAATTAAAAACCATTAAAAAGCAAAGTAAGCAAGTTGCCTGCCTTCTGGATTGTTAAAAGTAGAACCGAATAACTCTTGGGTGGCTCTTGCTTACGTTGGAAAGAAGAATAAGGACAGATTTAGCATTATGTACCAACTAGGACCCCAGCTAACAATGGTCAAGATGTACTCATTTTATGAAGATACTTACACAAAAACTGTTTCTTCTTTTCCAGTGATAACTCATGAAAAACTTCCCAGAACCATTTAATTGTTGGATGATCTGCCCAATATTCTCCTTTGTATTGAGTATTCTAAGGAGAGAGAAAAATCAAAACCATACTATTAAAGAATATTGCCTCTGGGATTCTTTCTTCCTTCTCCCCTGCAAATGGTAGACTATGTTAACCATCAAACAGATATTGAAGTGCAAACAAGGACACTGTAAAGAACTGTGCAATAGGCATGCTTAAATAAGCTATTTAAAAACTTTAGCTACAATCTTCTATTAATGTAAGTGATATTTATCATGAGATGCCTGGGGAAATATGCAAAGGACTGCAGTATACATAAATTTTCATTTCCACTATTTGAAAGTTTACCACCAATCATATTTAGTTTAATAAAGGTTCGGTGTCTATAGTGAGTTTAGAGGTATTTTTTTAAAAAATTTCTTTTTGTAAC